GGGCAGGTGGAGAGAGGGAGAACCTTCTCCAGGCCAGGATTCCTCCAGCAGAGCCTCGGCTGTGCCATTCCCGGGAAAAGCCGTCGGGGGGGACGGGAATGGCAGCAGCCGGGGATCCCGGGCTGCTGGGCAGGTGCTGGAGGTGCCACCCAGGGCTGTCCCTGCTGTCCCCAGCTCCTGTCTCTGAGCTGCCGGGACCCCCCATCCCAACCCTCAGTCCTGGGGAAGCCGGTTGGGATCCCTGGATTTGGGTTATCCTCTGCTCCAGAGGGATTCTTAAGATCCCTTCCAACCCAGACCATTCCAAAGTTCCACAGCTCGGTGTCGCCCCTCTCCCCCACCCGAGGCCACCGTGCCCCGTGCATGGAACCGGCTCCTCTGTGACATCAGCCCGGGCTGGTGGCGCTGCCAGGGCCACCAGAGGTGACAGCTCCGCTCTGCCTCTGCCACCTGCGCTGGCACCGATGGCTCTGCTGGCCCTGCTCGTCCTGCTGGCCCTGGCCCGGCCCGTGGGGGGCACGTGGGACACCTGCAGGTCGGTGGCCCCGGGGGCTCGGGGACACTCGGGGCTGTCCTGGCACGGATGAGCCCCTCGGGTGTCCCTGTCCCCGCTGTCCCCGAGCAGGGCACCGATGGCTTTGTGCTTCCAGAGGGACCTGCGGGCTCCGGCCCATGGCCTTCGACCACAGCTCTGCGGTTCCCGACTGCGACTCAGAGGATGAGGACACGACTTTGGGATCTTCCAACGGCCTTTCCCTTCTTGTGGACGGTCCCGGTGTTCCCTCGGGGACCTGGCCGGGCATCGTCAGCATCCAGGCCAACCTGGAGAACGGCACGTGGCACATGTGCTCCGGGGCCCTCATCCACCCCCAGTGGGTGCTCACGGTCGCCCGCTGCTTCATCGAGGCTGAGTAAGGAGGAGCAGGGACAGGGATGTCACCAAAACTGGGACAGGGTTGTCCCCACAGCAGGGACAGGGATGTCCCCACAGGAAGGTCAGGAATCCTCACAGAAGGGTCGGGAATGTCCCCACAGAAGGGTCGGGAATGTCCCCACAGGAGGGTCAGGGATGTCCCCACAGGAAGGTCAGGAATACTCACAGAAGGATCGGGAATGTCCCCACAGGAGGGTCAGGGATGTCCCCCCCAGCACAGGGAGGTGCTCAGCACGGGAAGGGAATTGCGCTGCCGCATCCCGCGGCTCTGCTCCATCGATCCTTTCTCCATCTCCTCCTCAGGGACACCTCCAGGTGGGAAGTGGCGATCGGGGCCACAGATCTGGCTAAGCCGGGCCCTGAGTACAAGCTGCGCCGCATCCTGAGGGTCCTGATGCACCAGAACTACGACGCCGACTCGGAGTGCAACAACATCGCTCTGCTGCAGCTGGACCAGCCCGTGGAGTGCAGCGACTACATCCAGCTGGGCTGCGTGCCCGACAGCTCCCTGGCAGTGCCCGAGCTCAGAACGTGCTTCATCGCGGGCTGGAGAGCCAGCCCGGACAGCGGTCAGTGCCCGCCGGGGGCTCAGGAGGAGCTGGGTACATGGGGACACTGCCGGCATGGCCCAGGGCAGAGGCCAAAGCTGCTGGAGCGGGGTCTGGGCCGTGCCCCGGAGCTCTGGGTGGGGACACGGTGGGACAGGGGCACGGCTCGGGCCCGGGGCTGGGGGCTGTGCCCAGGGAGGGGCCGGTGCTCAGAGCACTCTGTGCCCTCTGTGCCCGCAGCTCCGACCCCGGGCGTGGTGCTGCAGGAGGCCAAGGTGCGGCTCATCGACGTCCAGCTGTGCAACAGCAGCCGCTGGTACGGGGGGGCCGTGCACCCCCAGGACCTGTGCGCGGGGTACCCGCGGGGCGGCATCGACACCTGCCAGGTGCGGGCGTGGGGCCAGGGACCCCCTGGAACCCCTCAGAGCCAGCCCAGGGACCCCTGGAACTCCGAGCCAGCCCAGGGACCCCTTGGAACCCCTCAGAGCTAGCCCAGGGACCCTTGACCTTAACTAGGGCCCCATGAAACCCCTCACATCCAGCCCAGGGACCCTCTGGAACCCCTCAGAGCTAGCCCAGGGATCCCTGGAACCCCTCAGAGCCAGCCCAGGGTTCCCCTGGAACCCCTCAGAGCAAGCCCAGGACCCCCTGAAACCCCTCACATCCAGCCCAGGGACCCCTGACCCCAAACAGGACCCCCTGGAACCCCTCAGAGCCAGCCCAGGGACCCCTGATCCCAAACAGGACCCCCTGGAACCCCCCACATCCATCCCAGGGACCCCCTGGAACTCCTCAGAGCCAGCCCAGGGACCCCTGAGCCCCCCGCTTTCCCCCACTGTCCTTTACCCCCAGCTCTCCCATCCCTTTCCCATCCATGGATCCCTGTCCCGTGTCCCAGGGCTGCCACTCCCCATCCGTGGGTCCTTGTCCCTGTGTCCCCCTGTCCCCCCAGCCCACCCAGTGTCCCCAGAACCCCGAGGTGTGGCTGTGAGCCTGGAGCAGCCCCTGACCCCTCTCTCCTGGCGCAGGGGGACATCGGGGGCCCCCTGGTCTGCAAGGACAACGTTGGTGACTACTTCTGGCTGGTGGGACTGGCCAGCTGGGGCCGAGGCTGCTCCGGTGACAAACGGCCCGGGGTGTTCACGTCCACCCAGCACTTCCACACCTGGATCCAGGTACAGATCGGATTGGTTCCCCCGATTACGGCGGCCCCACCACCAAAGGCAAAGCCACCGATCCCCACTTTCGTGGAAGAGCTGCAGGAACTGGAACCTGAACCACACCTGGAAATAGAAACTGAAGTGGAACTAGAACCGGTGCCGATCCCGGTCCCCATACCGGAACCGGAACCCATACCAAAACCAGAAGATGAAGAAGAACCAGAACCAGAGCCAGAATCGGACATGTTTATAACAATTTCATTCCCAAAAAACATCCTGCTGAGGTTCTTCAAGAACCTTCAGGAGTTCCTGGAGTTCCTGAGGGACAAAATGGACTGAGCAGATCCAGTTCTGGAGTCGGGACATCACAACCATTCCCTGTTGGAGCTGTGGCTGTGCCAAAGCCACCCCGGTGCCCAGGGCTGCTCTGTCCCACTCATTGTCCTCCCCTCCACCCACCCTGGTGATGTTCTTGAAATAGAGTTGTTCCCAATTTTTCATTTTCAGTCCCGTTTGGTCTCCTGTGGCAGCAAGGACGGGACAATCCGGGGGAAAAGGGTGGGGTTGGCTCCTGGTTTGGGGGAGATGAGGGAGGGATGGAGGGGAGGACGAGCTTGGGTGTGGCTGATGGTTCTCCACCATCTCCAGCACCTTCTGATGAAACTTTAAGGGCAGCAGCAGCAGGACCACCCACCCTGAGGGGTCATCCCTGCTCATGGGCCACCAGGAGCTCAGTGCTCCAGCAGAAGGACATCCCAGAAATCTCCTAAACTCACGGAGTTCCATCAGCCCATGGCGAAACTCCCCGCCCTGGGGCGTTCCTACCCTCACTTCAGGGGATGTCCACTCAGGGTTTGGGGATTTGGGACACAGCCACCACCGCTGGACATCTGGACAAGGACCAGAGCAGCAGGAGCAGTTCAACAGCGCTGCCCACGCTGCTGGGCCGGACTGTGCCACCCACGGGGTTGTGCTCTGGTTTTGCGGTTGGAAGCCGAATTTTCTGAATTCCTGGCATTTATTGGATCCTTTCCACATTTATTGGATCCTTCCCACCAAATCCTGCCCGGCGTGGGGTTAATTCTTCCCTCTTCTTTCGCTGCAAACCAGCACGGCTGGGCAGGTGGAGAGAGGGAGAAACTTCTCCAGGCCAGGATTCCTCCAGCAGAGCCTCGGCTGTGCCATTCCCGGGAAAAGCCGTCGGGAGGGACGGGAATGGCAGCAGCCGGGGATCCCGGGCTGCTGGGCAGGTGCTGGAGGTGCCACCCAGGGCTGTCCCCGCTGTCCCCAGCTCCTGTCTCTGAGCTGCTGGGACCCCCCATCCCAACCCTCAGGGACCCAGTTGGGATCCCTGGATTTGGGATATTCCCTCTGCTCCAGCGGGATCCTTAAAGTCCTTTCCAACCCAGAGCGTTCCAGGTTTCCACAGCTCGGTGCCGCCCCTCTCTCCCCCTGCGGCTCTTTGGGATTTAGGGAAAGAAGTGGGAAACACCCATGGAAGTGATTTCTCTGGGAGAAGCTTCTGGAAGTTTTCTCGGTGTCTGAGACCAGGCCGATGTCTGGCACCACTGGAAAGCGTGTCCACACCACCTTCCAAAAACCCAAACCCGAGAACTTCTCCCTCTTTCTTTCTGGCCTTCAAAGGCAGCAGTGAGATGTAAACTTTGAAGAATTTTATATTTTAGAGAGGCTAATTTAATTAAAAACAAGCCTTGTTGAAGCTAATTAAAACAAATAAAAAAAAAATAGAGCTAATTAAAATAAATTTAAATTGCTAAAATTAAGGGTAGATAGAGAGGCCTTGCTAAAATTAGAGGTTAATAATTGGCTAATAATTAATTGTCAGCTTTCTGCTCGTTCAGCTGGGCTCGTAATGAGAAACAGAGAACCTGGCGAGGAACTTGAAGAAGATAAATATAAATATATAATATTTATATTCGAAGATAAATATATTTATATTATAAGATATCTTATTATAAAGATATATAATCTTTATATATATATTTATATAAATATAAATAAATTAATACAAAATAATATAAATTAATATAATAAAAATAAAATAATAAAAATAATTATAAAAATAAATATCTATAAATATATAATATATATAATATATAAATATATATATTAAATATATAAAATAATAAAAATAATTATAAAGATATATAATCTTTATATATCTTTATATAAATATAAATAAATTAATATAAAATAACATAAATTAATATAATAAAAGTAAAATAATAATAAAATAATTATAAAAATAAAAATAAATAAATATATATAGAATATATATAATATAAATATATATATTCTATATATAAAATAACAATAAAAATAATTATAAATTAATATAAATTAATATAAAATAATTAGAAATCAGGAACTCTTTGAAGGCAGGAAAGCAGGAGCCCAGCCAAGGCTCCGCTTGTCACTCTGCGTTGAAAAGGTGGAAAGGTGAGGATGAGGAAGAGCCCGATTCCCTCCTCCCTTCTGTGACCCCTCCTCGTAAAAAAGACCACTGACCCATTTCAAGGAACAAATTACGAGTGCTTAATTGCTTTTTTTCCTAATTAGCGCAGGAAGCGGAGAGCGGGGTATGGATATGTATTTGTATTCAATACTTTTATAAATAAACGTGAATGTAATAATTTTTTTATAATTATAAATAATATAAATATAAAAATAAAATAAAATAAAATAAAATGAAAAATATATAAATATAAATATAAATATAAATATAAATATAAATATAAATATAAATAAAAATATAAATAAAAATAAAAATATAAATAAATCAATAAATAAATAAAAATTAATATAAAAATAAATATATAAATATAAGAGATAAATAATAAATAAATGTTTATAAATATAAATCTAAATTTAATATTAAACATAAGCCTAAACATAAACACAAATATAATTAATAAATATAGATATAGATATAGATATAGATATAAATATAGAT